TTCTGGTGCTGCATGGATTCGCTGATGGCTTTTTAGTCTGGTTGGTAGTTGGCGAGGTTAAGCTTCATGCAAGCGTTGAGGCCTTCATCCGTTAGACATGATCGTAGGGTGGGCTTGATGTATTTAAGATGTGAGAATGACTGCTCACATTCCTACGTAAATCCATGTAACTCATTCGTCCTGAAATGTATGAAACTCCTCATCTCTTTTTCTTTTCGCCATCTTTTTTGTTACAGGGGTTAACTTTGAGCAAATTAGAGAGGAGGTGTGTAGCGGTCAAGGATGTGTGATCTACTATAACTACTACACTAAGAGTATTACGTCCGATGCAAGAAAGCAGTCAGATGTTAGGAGCGATTTATTAGTACACAAGGCAAGTTTCCGCGAATGGACTATTTGCTTGCGTGTGATAAATGCGTCCGTCTGGGAGACATAAACACAAGGGACTATAGGGACAAGGCAGACTAACTTATACAATTAAGATAGCCTTTGCCGCCAGCGTGACCTTGACAAGGCTGAGGTCAAGTCTGAGGGCTGTCATGCTTAAGTAGAGTGTCTGTTATTTAGCGAGCTTATGGCGGCCGTTGAGACGCAGGAGAAAAGGGAAGCAACTGCTGTCGGCTAGCCGGAAAGGAACACTGAAAAGACTGCTAGGTCAAACCAAGGGGGTCGAAACGCCAAAGCTTGGTCGAGAGTAAACTGATTCTAATACGCGTCTCGGTGGCGGCATGTTAATGGAGGAACCAAAATCGCAAAATCTGAAGTTTATAATTCCAATTTTATCTGAGAGAGCCAGACGCAATCATCAACAGAGCCACACCTGGCTCGCGAGCCATAGGCTGCCGACCCCGAAGGTGGTGTGTACGAAGTGCTCGACGAAGGGCCACATCACGTTCAACGAGTGTCTCGTGATAAACGAAAGAAAACTGAAGGGATCATACAGATGCACATTGTGTTGCACACTGTCATCTGCTAGGTTGTTAGGGCGGTTGGCAGATTTGCTTAATTCAGTTGACCCAATTGTGGGAAATTTGCGGCCCCGGTAGGAGTTGAACCCACACACAGCAGGGGAGGCTTTTGCGTGGCCAACGCTCTACCAGAGAGCTACGAGGCTCACCGTGAGCCGTGAATTTAATCACGCTTTGGTCGATTCACCTGCCCAACCTACAGCACGTATGAGATCCACCATAACGGAGCAGTAATCTGACTGCCCAGGCGGTAAGTTGGACAGGTAAGTTGATCCAAGTGTATGTACACTCACGGCTGACGGCGAACCTCGAGGACAAATGGTAGAGCGTTGACTGCGCAAAAGCCTTCTCTACCGCGTGGGTTCGACTCCCACCGAGGCTACGAATTTTTCAAAATTGGGTCAACTGATTTTGCCAAGTTCTAGGTCCCATTGATCTTAAAATTTCACACAACTTATTGACCTATCACCAAACAGTTTGGACAAAAAAACGTTCTGGTAACTTGCCTAGAACTCTTGTTGCTATACCAACCGTCAGGGTTTCTATGAATAATTCTAGCCCTTAAAATATGTTTATTTCCATGTGATAGAACTTAGTAAGGTCCAGCTGAAGTATCGATCTCCTACGTAGCTATCTTCCTCTTGAATGTTGCTACTGTTTACATGCATTTTCGTTCGCTAACTCGGCTGAAAGGCGTCATTAAGCGGAATGCACTTTTTATTACGGTTAAATTGGTGTTGTCGCTGCAGTCTCTGGCCGGATTTAAATTTATCACTTTATTTGCTGTATGCTTTAATTTAAAAAAAGCATTTAACGCGATACTATCTGCCGACATTGCGTTAGAACACAGGCTGCCTACGTTTATCCTCCTCGCTATGCATATAGTTGCTGCAACAAAGAGGCACTTTCCCAATATAGTAAACGGTAAACAATTGTTTCAGAGAATTGAGGAAGGTAGTTGGGGGCTTCTAAACTCTAAGGGCCAGAAACATTTCCTACAGGAACAGGCTTTGGAAACTAAGGATATGGGTTCCGAAAATATACGACTCAAAGGTGATTGAAGGGCCTCTGAATTTGTGTCCAGTATTATATTTTATGTTGTCTTTTGAGTTATAACGACTTGCTGTGTTATTGTTAATAATGAATGTATGGGCTTCGCCGATCTGATAGAGGAACAATTAAGTTCCGCTTCGCTTAGGAGCTCACAATTAGAGCCCGCGTAGGCAGTCACATAGCGACTATGAGGATAGGATGGAATGGGTTCGACAAGGCAAAGGGAGACCGGAATGGCCACTTCTGGCCTGTTAGCCGTCATCAGCTAGTCGTACCAAGCCCAAGGATTGGCAAACCCGAGATTCGAACCCGAGCCCTTTGCTCATTGAGTTTACCACTTTAGCATTGCACCACGGGTTCGTTGCTTAATTGGTCAACATCGGGCCTCGAGTTCTTCACAATTGGGTCAACTCAAATTAAGCAAATCTGCCAAACCTCCTAATAATAATCGGTTTACAATATATAAGCAGTCGATTGTGAAATGGAATGCTAACTAAATCGTGCTCTTACTTTTCTTCCTTTCTACGTTGCCCTATTCAGGTTATTGCTGTCGACCCTGATGCGGGTAAGAATGGCACTGTCCATTACTTTCTGGCCAGTCAAAAGTCCTTCACGCAAGCAGCTGGAGACGCCAGCAACAACAAAGACGCCCTCAAGCTAGTCCCCCTAACCGGCCGCGAAGGTCAGCTCTTTGAACTTGACCGTCGACGCGGCACCCTGTCTTTGAAGCATGGGTTGTCTGCGGTGGATGTCGGCCAAGTCTTCCATCTGCACATTATCGCCAGCGACATGGCAGCCAGTCCCCTCCAGACGGAGCGTGTTCTGGCGGTGCAAGTGGACCGTTCAGAGCCCCGAGGTGAAGCCGCCTCACGAAAGTGGGCCAGCGCTGGGTTCGGAGCCTTTGGAAAGAATGTCTCGGACTCCATGATCAATTTCTTCATCATCATCTTCATTGTGGTTGCGGCCTTCATTATATCCGCTGTCCTCCTGACGGCAGTTTGCATCGTGCTCAGAAAACCTCGGCGGAACGCCAACAACCCAAACATTATTCGTAAGTTTGTTTAACTTACCCCCGTCAGATTGCATATAACTGTGATGCGATATGTATACGCAAACGTAAAAGATGTGTAGAGGATGTGTGTATAGAGGCAAATTCACATTCCGAAGTCTTCCTTGGCGTATGTGCGAATGGGTGACAGAAGATAAATGAGGTTAATGTTCGCATTCCAGGTATGTGTATAGATAGAGAAAGAGAAGACGTGCCAATCAGCGGAATCATCATTTTATTAGTCCGAGCTTTCGGACTCTTATTGGACTCCATCTTCAGAGGTAAAAGTGTCAACGAAAAGCGACTAGGATTGGGATTAAGGATACAGTTTCGTTTTATGATGGAGTTAAAACACGGAAATACTTACTCTTAATGAAATCTAGCAAAAGGCCACCTATTTTACATGGAAGTGGCGTTCCTGTTCTCACGTCCTGTTTAAGCGACAATAAATTTCCGCGTTACACAAAGGGAATATTGATTAATTAGTATCTAGCACGTGAATTATTGATCGATTCACATAAGAGGGATTTGAATGCAGATGCACGCGAGCGGCCTTAGATTGATTAATTTACACGGGGTGAGCCACATGTCCTCAAATCAATTCATATCGGACAAATAGAGTATCGATCTCTTCATTTATCTATTGGTTTGCATGGGAGAGAAGTTAGGGTTAAGCTTAAGGCTTCACTCAGATTTTTTGTTAGGGTTAACATGCAGGAATGTTAACCCTATTTTAAATGAACGCTTAGTTCCTTTTCCTGTGTCGTGCTTAGGCGACCATACACGTCAGTCTTACCCTAGAATCCTACGGGCAAATAATATAAACAACTGAAAGTACTCTGGCATAGGGGCGCACCAAATCATAAAACTGTTTAAAATCATTTGATAATAATTTCTGTCATCCTGGTTATTTCGCTAACAATTGGCAGTAAATTACTACTTTCTGCAAACTCTTTTAGTTGCCATCGT